GAGCGGGGATGTCGTCCTCCAGGCTTGGTGGGTCAGGATGTGCTCCATTCTCTCTTCCTCCCCCTAAGTGCTCCTGATTGCTCTGATCAGACATGCCCCTCTTCCCTAACTGCAGCTTCATTGCTGTCTTCTCAAGTAGCTTCTTCTGGGGGGAGGGGCTGTTGTCCACATAGCTGGCATGGGGGAACTCTTATAATATCACATTTTGTGTACCTCTTTCATTGTTCTTATTCAAATATTAACTGTGTGAAATAATAAACTATCTTTGGGTGTATCATTTTTTTAATATCTAATACAGCAATTAGGGCAGCAAACTGGTTGTTAAAATATTTGAATCCCAGCACTGCAAAGAGTTGTCCCTGTAGGAATAAATGAGACTGAGCCTGGGTTGGTGCGCAAGGCAGGTTAGCAGCGCGGTGCAGGCCATTGCCTCCGTGGTGGACTGCTGAGGGTGGACCATCAGCTTCAGAGACAGGAGGTGCCACAGTCATGTTGCTCTGAGCCTTCACCTGGACCAGTGCTGCTCACAGAGAGCGTGCGCCTGAGCCTCCTGGAGGGCGGGTACAGATGCGGACGGCTGGGAGCACCCACAGTTTCCGTTTCCTCAGGTCTCGGGAGGACTCAGGAATTGCATCCCCATTCATAGGGAGCTCCCAGATGCGGTGACGCGGCTGGCTCAGTGAGAAGCACAGCCTAGTCAGTTGGTCGCAAGCCCAGTTGCACCTGTAAGTCCTCGGCGGAACGTTTAAAATAACCAATGTCAATCGATACTCGGAGCCCTATAAACAGTGCCAGTCTTGAAAACCCCCAGGGGGTCGCTATGAGTCAGCATTGACCAGATGGCAATGAGATCGATGCTCACCCAGGGTGTGGAAGCAGAAAAGTACATTTAAAAACATCTTCCAAGTCATTCTGATGTACAGCCAGCACTGAGCGCTACTGTTTTCAAGCGAAGGTCCCTAAGCCCATTCGAATTCCATTGTTTTACTTATTTATTTTAAAAAATCATTCTATTGGGGGCTCTTACAGCTCTTATAACATTTCACGCATCAATTATATCAAGCATATTTGATTTTTATTTTTAAAATTCTAATCATTTTATTAGGGGTTCTTACAACATTTCATACATCAATTGTATGAAGCATATTTAATTGTTTGATTTTTATTTTATTTTA